TCCTCCAAATGTCACCTCCTCAAAGAGGCCTTTTCTAACTGCTCTGTCTGAAATGCCAGCTTCGTATTCTTGTCACTTGATTCAGATTCTGCTTTAATGTTTTCTCAGAGGACTAACTGCTATCTGATGTTACACCATGTACCCACTTTTCGTTGGCTTTCTGTCTCCCCAATAGAATGTAAGCCCCTTGATGTCGAGGACTTTGTCCTTCTTACTGACTTCAGTTCTTAGAACTGTGCCTGCTAACCAGCTCAACATACATTTACTAACTGAATGAATAAATGAGTAAATAAATTAACAACTAAGTTTTACAACTGAAGAAACAACACCAGTTAATGAGTGGAAGTCCTGGAATTCTCACCCAGCTATGTCTGGCCCTAGAATTCCTTCTCCGTACCACCACAGTATTGTTTCCTGATAAAGGTATTTTCAAATTCCCAACATTCATTAATTTAGTTAATTTCAACTACTAATTTTTGGTCTAAGAGCCCTTGTAAAGAGCTGTAGTTAGACATTGCCTAGAGTAAATGTGCTGGAAGCTTCGTGGACATCTTCGATGTCCAAGTCATTGCCATTGTTCCTGTCCATGACTACTGCAGAGCTGGTACACCACATTAAATAGGATGTCAGAAATATATACAAACAGATGTCAAAGTTATATAATTACCTGTGATATTTATTAACACAATTTTGTACATTTGGCCTATTGTATAAAATTAATCCTTGGTGGGATTTTATTTTAAAGAATTATTTCTGGTGATAAGTATGAAATTATCTTGTTTTACCACTATATGAATTATAATGCATTTCCAGACTCAAGTAACTGAAGCCATCTGTCACAGAGGATATCACCGCCAGTGCAAAAGGCAGAAACACCTTCAAGGTAGCAGTATTAAAAGTGAGATAAAATTATTCAAACTCTCAGAAGATTTGTAAGATAAAGCAAAATGCTTGAAGCTAAAGACAAAAATGGTTTAAAAACTTCTAAAAAGTTAGTAACAAATGGGATCAAGAGAACAGAGGGAGAGTTGTGTTGGGGATAGAAATATTAATACATACTTTCAGAATATGCTTACTGAGAAAAATCTTGAAAGCAAACTATAAATATTACTGAAAATTAGTTATTCAGTCTTTAACTATCAACTAGGAAAAAAGTTTCAAACAGCTCACAGTTATATGCCAAGGAAAAGGTGGAGGTGAAATGAAGAAATAACAGCACCTGGGATATCAAAAACAGTTTATGCTTACTTAATATGGAAATACATGTAGGATCTATGGCTTAAGAAGTTTTACTACCAGTAGATTAACTGTATGATGTTCAAAAATAAACGATAAAATTATTAACATGTTTTAATATATCTTTGGGAAAGATGGCAACTAATATAAAGAACAATTCAAGATATTTTCAAATTATTTGGATAAACATTTAAATAAATGATGGGCTTATGGTTTTTCTCAATAATTAAATTTAAACATTTAATTAAATGCAATAAGTGATGAGTGATATTTTTTTCCTTTGTTAACATTTTGCCTCATTTGCATACCCACTCTCTCACTCTGTGTATCACATTCTTTTCCTAAACTGCTTGAAAATAAGTAGAGACGTAATGACATTCCACCCCTAAATACTTTAGTATGCATCTCCTTGTGAATAAAGATATTTTTCTTATGTAGTCACTTAGTACTTTTTAAAATCTTATATAGAGGGACAGATCTTAAGAAAAGATCTTAAGACAGTGGGACAGATCTTGAAGATCTCACATCTTAAAAGAAAATGTGATAACTTAAAATCTAATGACCAGAATTGCTACCGATATGTTCAATTTTTCCTTACTTCAGCATACCAGCTCTGTTGGCTTGGAAACCCTCATTCCAAAAACGTATTTCTAGACACCGTTAATTCCATTATGTAAGTTACTAGGTAACCTTTATTATTATTATTTTTTAAATTATCATCAGGTAATTGTGTAAGCCAATAGTATTTAATCTGCTTTTCTGTCTTTCAGTATAAAATACCTTTCTATAAGCCTCTGTCGGGTAGTCCACTATTGGTATTCTCCTTCCTTGATGGGAGGATATCATGAAAGTACTCTAGTTCAATGACTCCTCTGCAATACAAATTCCTTCAGAGTCAATGGGAGTTTATGAAGCCATAAAGTTGCATTGTGGGGTGGAAGTAGGAAGCATCATATTCATTCATTTTTGTTACCAACCATAATGTTCTGGGAGCTTATATGAAAACAGTGATGAATTAGATTCAGAACTAATTCTTTTACAAGGAGTTCATACTGATGTACCATTTCATTAAAAAAGGCTACACAGACTGGATAATGTAAGTATATTCAAATGAGATTAGGGAAAGTATTTTTAATTAAGTCACTATTACTACATATATGAACTCTAAATATTTTCATGGTAACAAGCTTGAAGGTTGCATTATTTCTTTAAAAAGTCTAATCATTGAGCTGATACTCATTGCATCCTAATATGAAAATTTAAGACTTTACTTATAAAAGAGAAAATTAAATTACTCTTAAATTATCTACTTTGTTACGTACATTGAAATAATGATAAAATAATAAGATATCAGTGATAGCGTAACGATGTCCCACTCTGATTCCCTCTACTAAACTCATATATCTATTCTCCAGCTACTTTGAGGATTGCATGCTGACAGCTCACACTTGTCTACTTCTTTTGAAAATTACTCTTGATTGACAGGAGCCACCCTGCTGGAACATTTACACCCCCCGTGGTTGTAGCCACTGCCAATAACTGACTAATGTTGAGTATACAAAAGGCCCCGCTTCTTTGCCTCAAGTAGGGACAATT